GGTTTCATCTGACTGTGAGGACAAGGCCAGAGGCCAAAGTGCGGTTCACCTCGCAGCAGCAAGCTGCAGGAGAGTGCAGGATGAGAGGAGGTAAGGGTCCGTGCTGTCTGGGGGTGGTCCCTGCCCCATGCTGGCTGACTGCAACCAGCTTAAAAGGCAGTGCCCATGCGGCTGCTCTGAAGAGCTTCCTCCTTTCCTAGTTTCATTGTGCCATCCTGGCAAGCTGCTGGAGAGGCGGAAGCTTTCCCTCCCCACGGTGAGAAGCTGGGAGCCAGGCACGAGGCAGCAAGATCTGGAGAAGAAGCCTTCCACCAGGTGAGACCCTTGGGGGAAAGGAGGAAGGAGCCACTTGCAGCCACACAGGAGAGATGTCCCCTTTGGACCCACCAGGCGCAGGGACTCAGAAAGGCTCCTGACACCCGTCCCGGAGGAGGCCGCTCTCTCCACGCATGGCAAGCGTGCAGCACGTTTGCCTGAGACTGGCACGCCAGCTTCATTTTCCACCAGGGCCCTGATCCTTGGGGGAGCTGGATGCAGAGCCGTGTTGCAGAAGCTCTTGTCCCTTCAGGAGCCCCCCCACATTGCAAGAGTCCATCTTTTTGTCTGTGGGAGCAAACGTCCCCTGCGGTTTCTTCCAGCTGCCCCGCAGCTTCTTCCAGCCTAAGGAGCTGTGATACCAGATGGAAACGTTTCTTTCCAAACGATATCCCAGACTTTGTGGCAGGCACAAGAGAGTGCCGAGGGAAGGAGGTGGCCTGCCTGCCCTCCTTCGCCAGGGGAGTTTTAGGTTAGATGTTAGGAAGAATTTCTTTACTGAAAGGGTTGTTAGGCACTGGAACGGGCTGCCCAGGGAGGTGGTGGAGTCACCATCCCTGGAAGTCTTCAAAAGACGTTTAGATGTAGGGCTTAGGGATATGGTTTAGTGGGGACTGTTAGCGTTAGGTCAGAGGTTGGACTCGATGATCTTGAGGTCTCTTCCAACCTAGAGATTCTGTGATTCTGTGATTCCTTGCCTGATGGCGTTCTCCGATGTTGCTGGCTCCCCAGCGATAATCTGCTTTCCACCCATAAGCCCGGCTGGGCCGTATTGGTGTCTCTAGGATCCTGTCCTTGCACAAGACACTGCTCCTCTCCTTCTGCCACCACAGAGGGCCTGGATACGGGCATCGCGAGCCTTCCTGAAGGCAGCTGGTGCCACTGCTTCGCGGTTGGCTCTCTCCGTGTCTGCTGAAGCGAACACGGCCAGTCCAACACCCATTCGCTGCGGAACTGCCGTCTGCTGCAGAGGCTGACGCAGCTTGCGAGCGCGGACTGGAGACCGAATTCCCCTGGGCTCATGCAGCCTCCCGGTGTCTGTTTGCAGTGTGCTCCCCCCGTGTCCAGGCAGCTCCCCCAGGACAAAGAAGACAGACAGGCAGGAAGCAGCTCCTCAAGCCAAGTCCACCAGCACTGCGCTCCCTACTCCCGAAGCCTCTCAGAGATCGGTGCAGGTACCTGCTCTGCCTTGCTGCAATGACCACGCGGTTTGGGACTGTACTAAAGCCTCTTTGTGTGGAGCGATCCCAAGCCGGACCCTTGGGATGCGTTCATTTTCACACTTGTTACCTCCTTCTTCTCTTCCTCGGGAGATGGAAGGTGGTGTCCCGCACACCTTCCCTGCCTCTTGCTGCCTCCCGTGTTGCCATGAGCCGCTTCATTTGGACCAGGGGCAATGGAAAAGGAATGAGGGCTTTCTGGGTCTTTGATGGCAGAGGTCTTTGGTCCAACAGCTGAGACCAATCCTGTCTGCCGTTGTGTTTTTTGTTTGTTTTCCTCCAGGAGGTCTGGAACCTGTCCTCGCAGTGGGACCAAACAAAGAGCTCATGGCCCTTGTACCAAAAGCGAATACAGCAAGCCCGGGCAGAAATGGCTGCTTGGGAAGCCTGGTCTCAGGGGGAGGACCGAGAGACACCTCAGGTACTGGCCGTGACCAACACCGCTGAGAAGAGCAGCGATCCTCCCCGCCAGGGCTCCGAGGGGGGCAGGTCCCAGGGTGGTGGGAGCAGGACGGGCACCAGGGCGCAGGGCAGGGCTTTGCCTGCTCCTCCCTGTGAGGGAGAGGCTGTCAGCAGAAAGCGAGGGATCAAAGCAGCAGCCAGACGTGGGCCGGCAGTGCCGAGTCGCCTGCTTCCCAGGTCCTGCTGCAGGGTCCTTTCAAGGGGTCCTCTGGGAAACAGCACCCGTGTGTCCAGTCCTGTCTGATGAGAGCGTCTTCTCCTTGCATCAGGTCACCAGGCAACATGATTGGATTCCCCATCCCCCAGCCCAGCCCAGGAGCAAGGAGGTCGTGAGGAGGTGGAGGAAGGTTCAGATCCCTGCCGCAGAAGAGGAGTGGAGAGCGGCAGCCAAGCTGGAGAGCCTCCAGCCTGAGTAAGTGTGTGCCGGCTGCGTTCACGTGCTGGGGCACTCGAGTAGCTGCTGAGCGATGTCAGGAGATGTCCAGCAGCCCGGTCCCTGAGTCCTGGGCTTGCCTATGACACCCTTGCTTTCTCCTAAAGCGGGCATGACCTTGGTTACCGCCAAGGCCTAAAACTCATCACAGGGCGAAAGGGTGGGTGCACGTGGCACCGCGTGGGTGCAGGGTCTGGATGAGGGGAGAGGCAGAAGGGGTGTCTGGCAGAGGCTGAGGGATCCCTTTGTCCTGGTGTTGCAGCCACCTTTCCCCACGAGCACTGCAAGTTTTGAAAAGGTCGGAGCCGCATCGCAGTCAACAAAGGGTGTTCAGAAGTGCTGCGGAGGAAAAGCGGCTGCAGCAAGAGCAGCAGCGGCTCCCCTGGTAAGTATCTCCAGAAAGGGATGGTGCTTCCCGCTGCTGCAAGGCCCGTCCTTCCCGTGGGGGCAGCACTGGGACAGAGAGGGCATTCCGGGGCCCTCCGCTCCCCCTGCCTCAGCCCCAGGCTGATGAGCTTGGGCACTAGGCATCTGTCGCAGCTGACGGCAACCTTGAAGCTTCATGGGAAGCAGACCCCTACGTGCACGGCCCGAGCTAAGCCTGCAGTACTTCTCTGCGTTCAGCCTGTACACAACCTGATCATCCTCTTTTCTTTCTGACTCCCTAGCGCTAGATGCTGGTACCGCAACGGAGGGGAAGGTGCTGGGAATGCTGAAGGCAGCAGCGGAGCTCTGAGCAAAGGGGCTGGGAAGCTCTCCCGCTTTCCACCCCTGAATGGAAAATAAAGAGCACAGCCAGACTGCTTGTGTCGCTTCATCCGCCGTAGCAAAGCACTGCCCTGATTCACACCACCATCTCCATTAGGCACACGGGCACATCCCAAGGATGCCCAGGCTTCTCCGTGCAGCACACAGGCATCTCCCTGGAGCAGCCAACAATCTCCCCAGACCACCAGTCTTGCTAGCAGGACCTCGGCACAAGTCCTCTGATCAAGCCGTCTTTTCCAAGGAGCGTTCTGGCAACTCCCTGGAGAAGCCAAACATGTCCCTGGGGAAAGTAAAAGTCTCCCCTGGGAATACAAGCATCTTCCTGAAGCACCCTCCATGGCACCCAAGTATCTCCCCAGGGAATATAGGCACCTCTTGAAATCAGAAATACTTCCTGCAGGACACGTGAGCATTGAGCTGGAGTAGACAAGCATCTCCCCAGGACACCTAAGCACTACCTTTTCCCTCTCAGGCATCTTCCAAGGGCATTCCAGCACCTCACGGGAGATCCCAACTCTAGGTGGGTTCACCTGAACAATTTCCGCTGTGAACCCATCTCCTGCTGATGCTCTAAGACATCGCCCAAAGGCATACAAGCATTTCTTGGAGGAACCCAGGAACCTCTATAGAGAACCCAAGCACCTCCTTGGAAGAATGAAACACCTCCCTGGGGAACAGTAGAATAACCCCATGGGTGCCCAAGCACCTGCATAGGTCTCCCCAGAAGATCTTTCAAGAACCAAGGAATTCCCTCCATTGATGAAGCACCTCTATGAAGAAATCCTATCCTGCCCCGGGTCAGAGAAACACCTCCCTGGGTAAATCACGCAACGTCCTGGAGGAGCAAAGGATCTTCTTGGGTGTACAAGCATTTTCCCGTGGTAGGCAAGCACCTCCCTGGGGACAACCAGCACCTGCCTCTGGGTCACTCATCCCCTTCCCTGTGGAACACGAGCATCTTGTCGGGACAACCAAGAACCTCCCTAAAGCACTGAACAACACACTTAGTGCAGTCCAGCAACTCCCTGGAGCACACAACCTGCTCTCTGCTGGACCCAGGCAACTCCGGAGGTTCCAAGTGACCCCAGAGGAATCAAGCACCTTCCTAGAGAGCCCAAGGATATTCCCAGGGCACACAAGCACCTCCCTGGGGCACATAAGCATATCCCTGGGGCAGAAGAAAAGCCTCCCTGGAGCACACAAACCTCTGCCCTCCTAACAAAAGTTTCTGCCCCTGCCATACAACTCCTGCAGCACAGAAGCACCTCCCTGGAACACCCAAGCACCTCACTGGAGCACCCAAGAATCTCCCCACCGCACTCCTACATCTGAGTGGAGAACCCGAGCATCTCCTCGGGTCATCAAAACACCACCTGGGGCACACAAACTTGCTGTCACCCCTTGTTTTTTCAGAAGTGATAAACTTTTCCTCTCTCTCCAGAAATGACTCTCAGTCTGTCCCATGACAGACCTGTCATGGGACAGACCGAGAGTCATTTCTGGAGCTTGAAGAGCTCAAGTTCCCCCAGAAGACCCCGTGGCCCGGAGCTGTTTCTCTTAGCGACCCTTCCTCTAGGCCCTTGTTCGGAATGCTGCAAGCAACTTGGGCTTGCTGTGGCACTGAGGATGTTGCTTCTCCTTGCAGATGACGTCAAGGTCGAGCCGCTGAACTACCTGCAGCTAGCGCGAGCCACCTCCTTCCTGTTATATGTTGCCCCTTAATTAATTTTCAGAGAGCATTGCATTAATAATAGAAAGGAATTTATGAGTAAGCAACAGCAAGCAAAACAGCGCTGGGCGGCCGGGGAGTCTCGGCTCCGCCAACGGCGCGCACCTCACCCCCGCCAGGGTCCCTTTTTATATCTTGGTAATTCCAGGATTATGCAGCACATCCTGGTATATTCTGCGACTGCGCGCACTGTTGCTAGGGGGTCATCTCTGTCCCTCTGGTGGTCGTGAAGATGAAGGCCGTAGTCTTCCTCGGCGTTGTGGTTCAACTTCTTTTTTTATTTGGTCATGTTGGCCCAGCGTGAGACAGGAAGGCAGGATGTTGATACGCTAGGTTAGCAACTTCTCAGGAGATGGTTACATGAGCTTTGCAGCAGGGTCTTTGAACAAAAGAGGCAACTGAGATGCAGAAGGAGAGAAGGGGAGGGGGTTCTCTTTTTTGTTACATTAAGCAAAAGAATTTTCATAGTGTCTAGCCAAGCATTATCCAGCTCCTTACTTCAGCAGGGAGCTTTCGCAACTCCAGCTCCTCAAACAGAACTCCTTGTTTTTATATCACGAAAGACAATGAACAAACATTTATTGTGTATTACACTTCCCAGCTCAAACTGGGACCCCCAGCCCCTTCCCATTATGAACTGGGACCCTTAACCCCTTCCCAGTATGAATTGGGCCCACCCCAGTACAAACTGGGACCCCCATACCCTTCCCAGTATGAACTGGGCCCATTCCACTGCAAACTGGGAACTTTCCCAGTACAAACCAGGGCTCCCAGCTCCAACCCAGCTCAAACTGGGATTGTCCCCAGCTCAGACTGGGACCCCCAGCCCTTTCCCAGTATGAACTGGGCTCCCCAGCCTCATCCCAGTACAAACTGGGCCCATTCCCAGTACAAACTGAGACCCTCAGCCTCATCCCAGTACAAACTGGGCCCATTCCCAGTACAAACTGAGACCCTCAGCCCTTTCCCAGTATGAATTGAGCCCATCGCAGTTCGAACTGGGCCCCCAGCCCCATCCCGGTACAAACTGGGCCCATTCCCAGTACAAACTGGGCGCCTTCCCTTCGCCCCGCCCCCCGTTGCCAGGTAACCGCCACCGCCGTTCCCACCTCTTTTCCCCCGTTGCCAAGCACACATCTCCCCCGTTGCCAGGCAACCGCCGCCATTTTGTCCCCTCCCCCGTTGCCAGGCAACCGACGCCATTTCGTCCTGCCCCGCCGGGCTGCCCGCACTGCGCATGCGCGCTCGCCGGCCTCCCATTGGCTCCCGCCCCGCGGCTTCAAACGGTCCGGCGGGAGCGATGGCGGCGGAGGCTGCGGCCGGTGCGGGGGGGGCTTGTGGGGGGGGGATCCGAGGGGATTTTGGGGAAAGTGGGGTCTGGGGGGGCTCAGGGGGGTTTGGAGAAGGCGTGCGAGGCTCTGGGGGCGTCTGGCGGTGAGGGGATGCGGGGTTGTGAGGGGAAAAAGGGGTTGTGAGGGGGCGTTCGGTGAGGGGAGAGGGGCTGTGAGGGGACGTTTTGTGAGGGGAAAAAGGGGCTGTGAGGGGCATTTTGTGAGGCGATGAGGGGTTAAAGGACACTTCGTGAGGAGAGAGGGGGCTGTGAGGGGATATTTTGTGAGGGGATGAGGGGCTGTGAGGGGGCATTTTGTGAGGGGATGAGGGGTTAAGGGACACTTCATGAGGGGACAGGGACTGTGAGGGGGTATTTTGTGAGGGAACAAGGAGCTGAGAGCGGAAAAGGGGCTGTGAGGGGACAAATCCTGAGGCACTGGTGTGTGAGGGAACATTTTGTGAGGGCTGCGAGGGGGACAAAGGGCTGAGGGGACGGGGCTGTGAGGGGGCATTTTGGGGGTGTCAAGGGGCTGCGAGGGGACAAATCCTGAGGGAAGCAGTCAGGGAAGGGACATTTTTTGAGGGGATGGGTCATTTTGTGAGGGGGGGGGCTTTGAGGGGCTGCTGGGGCTTTGAGGGGACACTTTTCTAGGTGACAGGGGGCTGCGAGGACCCGGCATCCACCCAGCCCCCCCTCAACGGCTGCCAATGCTCCCCAGCACCCCCCCGGCGGGTTCAGGTCTGCGTCCGCCTGCGCCCCGGCCCCCCCGGTGAGGATCCCTGCCTGCTGCCCCTCGACTCCCACACCCTGCAGCTGCGTGAGGACCCCCCCCACGCCCCCTCCTGCTACCGGTGAGCCTCGGGAGGGGATGGCGGGCAGCACCCATGGGTGCTCCCCCTCTCCCTCACATTTTAACCCCTTTTTCCCCTCAGCTTCGATGCTGTTTACGACGCCGCCAGCTCCACGGCCGCCGTCTACGAGGGCTCCGTCCGCCCGCTGCTGGCCCAGTTCCTGGCCGGCAGCGACCCCCCGAAAGGCTGACACGGTGCCCCCGTGCCCCTACCAGGGAAGACTCACACCATGCTGGGCGGTGAAGGGGAGCCCGGCTTGGTGCAGCGCCCTCGAGGAGCTTCTACAGGCCGTGGGCGCCAGCCGCTGCCTCAGCGTGGCCTGCATGGAGGTGTACTAGCGAGGAGGTGGGCTTGTGCCCCGTTCCTCCCCCCTCAAATCGCCCCCCCCTTTTGGTCCACCTCCCCTCCCCAGGTGCCGGTGTCCCCACAATTTCTCGACCTGTGCACCCCCAGTCTCCAGATCTGCCTTCCCCTATAGGCAGATCCCCCCCAGACCCCCACTATACCCCCAAAAAAGCATAATCCCCCCCCCAAAAAAAACATATTCCCCTCGAAATCCCCATATTCCCATATGACCCCCCCCAAAATCCCCATTTTGACCCCATATCCCTCCCAAATCCCCATATTCCCCCATATGACCCCCCCAAAATCCCCATATTCCCCCATATCCCTCCAAAATCCCCATTTTCCCCCCGTATCGCCCGCCAAAATCACCATTCAACTCAGACAAGCCTGAGTTTGGCCCTTGTGCCACAGCTGAGGTGCTGCAGCCCAGATGTGCCCCAATGCCCTCAGCCTGGGGCACAGGCAGGAGGAGCTGGATCCCCGCCTGCTGTCACAGGGCTGGGACATTGATGGAAGAGCTGCTGAGGTGTGGGGGGACAGGTCCCCCAGCTTGGGGTGCTGTGCTGGATGGGGGCAGATTCTTCAGAAGAGACAGGCGGGGATGATCAACAGGGGGTTGCCCTCCATGTGAAGGATCTGTCTGGATGCATGGAGCTCCTCTATGGGATGGGCAGCAGAATGGGGGAGCCCTTGTGGGTGAGGGTCAGAGCAGATCCAGTCAGGGTGGCAGTGTGGTCAGAGGTAAATGCCTGCAGTCAGGCTGAAGAAGCAGACAGTCTTGTGGAAGCCACTGGACTAAGATGAATTCAATGACCCCATGTCACCCTGGGGGCCTTAAATCACTCAGACTGTCACAGAAAAGGGACACTGCAGGGTGCAAACATTCCCGAGGTTTCTATGGGTTCTTGGAGGCATCTTCTGTGCACAGCTGCCAGATGGGCCGACCTAGGTGATGTTCACCAGGATCTGGGACTTGCAAACAGGAAAACCCGTGTCTTGACACTCCTCCTACAAAATGCGTGTCATAGTCCAGCTGCTTTTCAGCACAGGGAAAGAGATGAGGTTTTGGGGCCCAGCCCTACATCCAGCACTGCACAGGCCCACTCACTCATAGACCCTGGGAGGCCTGCAGCCCTGGAGAGTATTGGCAGACAGACTTTAGCAAACTGCCTAGAAAATGGGGAGGAACACAGCAGTGACTTCTCCAGCGCTCTACTTGCTTTATTCTGTGGCCTTTGTCAGAATTTGGAGATGTTCCTGGTGGATGGGCCAGGAACCGCTAGGAATGAACTGGGCAGAAGGGAGGTGACTGTTTCTCAGGACAAGAAGGGAAATCTCTCGTCTCTCTCCTGAGCTGTGCTGTCTCCATGCTGCTGACGTCATAAGGCTTATTATGACACGTGATGATGTCACAGAAGGATGTCCTGCATCACCAGGATATAAGCATTGGTGCAGCGGCAGTGCCGGCACTTCCCTGCAAGGCCTGGTCCCTGCTGGGCACTGCTTGGGTGCTCCCCAGCGCTGTCCTTCTGCGGCCAGGAGTGGGGTCAGCAGGCAGCAAGCTTGCACTGGGCGACCCTCGCTGACGGGCGGAGGAGCAGGGGCACCTTGCAGAGGAGCTGTGGTTGAGGAGCCAGGGCGGGCATCCCTTGTCCTGAGCTGAGGGCCAGCAGCAAGCGAGATGGAGGGCTGCTGGAGGGTGACCATCGCCTCTGATATGGTTTCCCAGTTCCCAGTGCTCCTGAATCTCTCCCCCAAAGGTAAGGGTGTCAGGAGCCCCTTCGCAAGGGGTGGCCCAGGGAGCCTGCAGTCTCTTTCCTGCAGCTCCCACAGGCCTCTCAGGAATGTCCCAGGAATGCCCGCATGGTGTTTTTCTGGGGGGCTCGCGTATGCCTGCATGTGTCCTCGCCTGGGTGAGGTGCTTGCCAAGAGGTGGTGAGCTGGCTGGCCTGGAGCCTGACCTGTCTTTTCCTTGCTTTCCAGAGACTGAGGCTATCTGGGATGCTGTATCCGAGCAAATTCTGGAAGCGCTGAAGCAGGATAAGGTGGGCTGGTGTCCTGGGCCCTGCAGAGCAATCCCTACCCGAGCAGCACGGCAGTGCACTGAGACTGCCCAGGGTGCCCGGAGCAGCTTGCTGGCCAGCTGGGAGAGAAACCAAGGCCAGATCTGCTCTGCTTCTCAGGGGTTTGGCACACCCCAGGGCTTCACTCTTCCCTGCGGCCTGGGTGGAGAGGGCGAGCAGAGAGATGGGGGAATATCCTGGGTCCGTGCCTAGGATAATCAGTCCCAGGCCTAAGCCGTGTGCTGGAAACCTCTGGGCTCTTCCCTAGCCAAGGGATGGTGGCAAATCCTGGGAGGGGGGTGATGGAAGAAACGGAGGATGCGGCTCTTCTCCAAAGCTTTCCAAAGTGCCCCACCTTGCCCCATTGTCCCTCAGGAGCGGGCAGGGCACACAGCAGTGTCCCCCTGCTCTGAGAGTCATCCCTTTTCCCGTCTCTCAAGAACTCCCTCCTCAGCCTTTCTGTCTTCTCTGTGTGCAGGCTATTCAGGTTGCGGGACTCGGGACCTTTGCTGTTCTCCAAGAGCAATTCTACGTCAAGCAAAAGCGGCTCCTGATTCGCAAACCGTTCTTCCAGCTGGACATTGATGAGGGGTGGCTGGAGTACATGTACTGTCCCCCTGAGATCCTCCCTGGTGAGAAGGCAGCAGCCCCCTCGTCCTGCCCCATGTCCGGAAGGATTTGTTCTCCCTGCTCTTTGGAAAGGCCTGGGAGAGGCAGAGGATTGTCTCCAACGGTCAGGGTGGAGCTTGAGTTCCCCCAGAAGACCCCGTGGCCCCGGAGCTGTTTCTCTTAGCGACCCTTCCTCTAGGCCCTTGTTCGGAATGCTGCAAGCAACTTGGGCTTGCTGTGGCACTGAGGATGTTGCTTCTCCTTGCAGATGACGTCGAGGTCGAGCCGCTGAACTACCTGCAGCTAGCGCAAGCCACCTCCTTCCCACTGTACGTGGTGCAGGAGTGTGTGCAAGAGACCATCATCTTGTACTGTTGCCTCCTGAAGAACAAGGAGCACGTCCCCTTTGCATTCAGGGACATCGGTGTTTTTGACGTGCGAGGATGACTTCCTGTGCATGAAGTTTTATCCGGACTGTGTTAAACGTCTGGAGAGCTCTGAGGACCTCATTGCAATGCTCCACAGTGTAAGCTGGTGATGTTTTGAGGGCTACTTCAATTTCTTTGGGAATCCTGTGGAAGGGTGATCAATGCGACCGCTGTTGGCCAGCCTGGACACGGCAGGCCAGTCAGATGCCTTTCCCCACGCCTGCCCCATTAGCTGCTTTCTCCATTAGCTCTTCTGAGCGTCTGGATGCTGGCCGCTGCAAAAGGCCTGGCAGCGTTACTGTACAGCCTCAATATTCTGCCATGCTCCTCCAGAGCAGAACAAAGGTGGATGGAAGAGGCTTTGGAGGAGGGTTTTGGAGAGAAGGCTTTCTTTTGGCTTGGGAGACAGGTTTGCTTCCTGTCAATGAGAGCCCTGAGAAAAGTGCCTCAGAAACCCTCCAGCAGGTCTGTGTCTCTTTGCAGAGAATGTGGCCGGCACACCCGACTGCCTTGAGTGGAGAGACCACCGCTCGTGCGATCCAGATGTTCCCAAGGTGAGTGCATTTCCTCCGCAGCCCTTGGCTTCCCACCTCCTCCTTTGGAACGTGCGCGGTCGGGTCTCCACGCTCAGCATCCAGTCGGGGCTAAATCCTGAAGAGACTGGGTCCTGGTTAACTCATGCTGACTTTCGGCTACGAGTGTCTTCACCTGGCGAGGAGGGGCACTGCGGTTGTGCTTCTTGTGCCCGTGCTGCCGCGATTCCCCTCAGAGAGAATTGCCTGCATGTGGAGGGGAATTTAGGCTACCTTTTCTGGTGTTGCGGGAAGCTTGACAACAAACCCCATGCGTGAACGTGACGGAAGAGGGATGCCATGTCCCGTGCAACACCAGGAGGATTACTGCCAGCAAGCAGCAACGGGTAGGAGGCCAGCCTTCTTCAAGCCCGTGTCATTTGTTTGCCAGGTTTCATCTGACTGTGAGGACAAGGCCAGAGGCCAAAGTGCAGTTCACCTCGCAGCAGCAAGCTGCAGGAGAGTGCAGGATGAGAGGAGGTAAGGGTCCGTGCTGTCTGGGGGTGGTCCCTGCCCCATGCTGGCTGACTGCAACCAGCTTAAAAGGCAGTGCCCATGCGGCTGCTCTGAAGAGCTTCCTCCTTTCCTAGTTTCATTGTGCCATCCTGGCAAGCTGCTGGAGAGGCGGAAGCTTTCCCGCCCCACGGTGAGAAGCTGGGAGCCAGGCACGAGGCAGCAAGATCTGGAGAAGAAGCCTTCCACCAGGTGAGACCCTTGGGGGAAAGGAGGAAGGAGCCACTTGCAGCCACACAGGAGAGATGTCCCCTTTGGACTCACCAGGCGCAGGGACTCAGAAAGGCTCCTGACACCCGTCCCGGAGGAGGCCGCTCTCTCCACGCATGGCAAGCGTGCAGCACGTTTGCCTGAGACTGGCACGCCAGCTTCATTTTCCACCAGGGCCCTGATCCTTGGGGGAGCTGGATGCAGAGCCGTGTTGCAGAAGCTCTTGTCCCTTCAGGAGCCCCCCCACATTGCAAGAGTCCATCTTTTTGTCTGTGGGAGCAAACGTCCCCTGCGGTTTCTTCCAGCTGCCCCGCAGCTTCTTCCAGCCTAAGGAGCTGTGATACCAGATGGAAACGTTTCTTTCCAAACGATATCCCAGACTTTGTGGCAGGCACAAGAGAGTGCCGAGGGAAGGAGGTGGCCTGCCTGCCCTCCTTCGCCAGGGGAGTTTTAGGTTAGATGTTAGGAAGAATTTCTTTACTGAAAGGGTTGTTAGGCACTGGAACAGGCTGCCCAGGGAGGTGGTGGAGTCACCATCCCTGGAAGTCTTCAAAAGACGTTTAGATGTAGGGCTTAGGGATATGGTTTAGTGGGGACTGTTAGCGTTAGGTCAGAGGTTGGACTCGATGATCTTGAGGTCTCTTCCAACCTAGAGATTCTGTGATTCTGTGATTCCTTGCCTGATGGCGTTCTCCGATGTTGCTGGCTCCCCAGCGATAATCTGCTTTCCACCCATAAGCCCGGCTGGGCCGTATTGGTGTCTCTAGGATCCTGTCCTTGCACAAGACACTGCTCCTCTCCTTCTGCCACCACAGAGGGCCTGGATACGGGCATCGCGAGCCTTCCTGAAGGCAGCTGGTGCCACTGCTTCGCGGTTGGCTCTTTCCGTGTCTGCTGAAGCGAACACGGCCAGTCCAACACCCATTCGCTGCGGAACTGCCGTCTGCTGCAGAGGCTGATGCAGCTTGCGAGCGCGGACTGGAGACCGAATTCCCCTGGGCTCATGCAGCCTCCCGGTGTCTGTTTGCAGTGTGCTCCCCCCGTGTCCAGGCAGCTCCCCCAGGACAAAGAAGACAGACAGGCAGGAAGCAGCTCCTCAAGCCAAGTCCACCAGCACTGCGCTCCCTACTCCCGAAGCCTCTCAGAGATCGGTGCAGGTACCTGCTCTGCCTTGCTGCAATGACCACGCGGTTTGGGACTGTACTAAAGCCTCTTTGTGTGGAGCGATCCCAAGCCGGACCCTTGGGATGCGTTCATTTTCACACTTGTTACCTCCTTCTTCTCTTCCTCGGGAGATGGAAGGTGGTGTCCCGCACACCTTCCCTGCCTCTTGCTGCCTCCCGTGTTGCCATGAGCCGCTTCATTTGGACCAGGGGCAATGGAAAAGGAATGAGGGCTTTCTGGGTCTTTGATGGCAGAGGTCTTTGGTCCAACAGCTGAGACCAATCCTGTCTGCTGTTGTGTTTTTTGTTTGTTTTCCTCCAGGAGGTCTGGAACCTGTCCTCGCAGTGGGACCAAACAAAGAGCTCATGGCCCTTGTACCAAAAGCGAATACAGCAAGCCCGGGCAGAAATGGCTGCTTGGGAAGCCTGGTCTCAGGGGGAGGACCGAGAGACACCTCAGGTACTGGCCATGACCAACACCGCTGAGAAGAGCAGCGATCCTCCCCGCCAGGGCTCCGAGGGGGGCAGGTCCCAGGGTGGTGGGAGCAGGACGGGCACCAGGGCGCAGGGCAGGGCTTTGCCTGCTCCTCCCTGTGAGGGAGAGGCTGTCAGCAGAAAGCGAGGGATCAAAGCAGCAGCCAGACGTGGGCCGGCAGTGCCGAGTCGCCTGCTTCCCAGCTCCTGCTGCAGGGTCCTTTCAAGGGGTCCTCTGGGAAACAGCACCCGTGTGTCCAGTCCTGTCTGATGAGAGCGTCTTCTCCTTGCATCAGGTCACCAGGCAACATGATTGGATTCCCCATCCCCCAGCCCAGCCCAGGAGCAAGGAGGTCGTGAGGAGGTGGAGGAAGGTTCAGATCCCTGCCGCAGAAGAGGAGTGGAGAGCGGCAGCCAAGCTGGAGAGCCTCCAGCCTGAGTAAGTGTGTGCTGGCTGCGTTCACGTGCTGGGGCACTCGAGTAGCTGCTGAGCGATGTCAAGAGATGTCCAGCAGCCCGGTCCCTGAGTCCTGGGCTTGCCTATGACACCCTTTGCTTTCTCCTAAAGCGGGCATGACCTTGGTTACCGCCAAGGCCTAAAACTCATCACAGGGCGGAAGGGTGGGTGCACGTGGCACCGCGTGGGTGCAGGGTCTGGATGAGGGGAGAGGCAGAAGGGGTGTCTGGCAGAGGCTGAGGGATCCCTTTGTCCTGGTGTTGCAGCCACCTTTCCCCACGAGCACTGCAAGTTTTGAAAAGGTCGGAGCCGCATCGCAGTCAACAAAGGGTGTTCAGAAGTGCTGCGGAGGAAAAGCGGCTGCAGCAAGAGCAGCAGCGGCTCCCCTGGTAAGTATCTCCAGAAAGGGATGGTGCTTCCCGCTGCTGCAAGGCCCGTCCTTCCCGTGGGGGCAGCACTGGGACAGAGAGGGCATTCCGGGGCCCTCCGCTCCCCCTGCCTCAGCCCCAGGCTGATGAGCTTGGGCACTAGGCATCTGTCGCAGCTGACGGCAACCTTGAAGCTTCATGGGAAGCAGACCCCTACGTGCACGGCCCGAGCTAAGCCTGCAGTACTTCTCTGCGTTCAGCCTGTACACAACCTGATCATCCTCTTTTCTTTCTGACTCCCTAGCGCTAGATGCTGGTACCGCAACGGAGGGGAAGGTGCTGGGAATGCTGAAGGCAGCAGCGGAGCTCTGAGCAAAGGGGCTGGGAAGCTCTCCCGCTTTCCACCCCTGAATGGAAAATAAAGAGCACAGCCAGACTGCTTGTGTTGCTTCATCCGCCATAGCAAAGCACTGCCCTGATTCACACCACCATCTCCGTTAGGCACACGGGCACATCCCAAGGATGCCCAGGCTTCTCCGTGCAGCACACAGGCATCTCCCTGGAGCAGCCAACAATCTCCCCAGACCACCAGTCTTGCTAGCAGGACCTCGGCACAAGTCCTCTGATCAAGCCGTCTTTTCCAAGGAGCGTTCTGGCAACTCCCTGGAGAAGCCAAACATGTCCCTGGGGAAAGTAAAAGTCTCCCCTGGGAATACAAGCATCTTCCTGAAGCACCCTCCATGGCACCCAAGTATCTCCCCAGGGAATATAGGCACCTCTTGAAATCAGAAATACTTCCTGCAGGACACGTGAGCATTGAGCTGGAGTAGACAAGCATCTCCCCAGGACACCTAAGCACTACCTTTTCCCTCTCAGGCATCTTCCAAGGGCATTCCAGCACCTCACGGGAGATCCCAACTCTAGGTGGGTTCACCTGAACAATTTCCGCTGTGAACCCATCTCCTGCTGATGCTCTAAGACATCGCCCAAAGGCATACAAGCATTTCTTGGAGGAACCCAGGAACCTCTATAGAGAACCCAAGCACCTCCTTGGAAGAATGAAACACCTCCCTGGGGAACAGTAGAATAACCCCATGGGTGCCCAAGCACCTGCATAGGTCTCCCCAGAAGATCTTTCAAGAACCAAGGAATTCCCTCCATTGATGAAGCACCTCTATGAAGAAATCCTATCCTGCCCCGGGTCAGAGAAACACCTCCCTGGGTAAATCACGCAACGTCCTGGAGGAGCAAAGGATCTTCTTGGGTGTACAAGCATTTTCCCGTGGTAGGCAAGCACCTCCCTGGGGACAACCAGCACCTGCCTCTGGGTCACTCATCCCCTTCCCTGTGGAACACGAGCATCTTGTCGGGACAACCAAGAACCTCCCTAAAGCACTGAACAACACACTTAGTGCAGTCCAGCAACTCCCTGGAGCACACAACCTGCTCTCTGCTGGACCCAGGCAACTCCGGAGGTTCCAAGTGACCCCAGAGGAATCGAGCACCTTCCTAGAGAGCCCAAGGATATTCCCAGGGCACACAAGCACCTCCCTGGGGCACATAAGCATATCCCTGGGGCAGAAGAAAAGCCTCCCTGGAGCACACAAACCTCTGCCCTCCTAACAAAAGTTTCTGCCCCTGCCATACAACTCCTGCAGCACAGAAGCACCTCACTGGAGCACCCAAGAATCTCCCCACCGCACTCCTACATCTGAGTAGAAAACCCGAGCATCTCCTCGGGTCATCAAAACACCACCTGGGGCACACAAACTTGCTGTCACCCCTTGGATCCTGCGACACAGGCCCTGAGCCCGGCACAAGGATGGAGATAGTCCAGCAGCCAAATGTCCCCCTACACCTTGGGGGGAGTGGGCAGTGCTGGACGTGGCTAACCAGAGAGGCTCCAGGTACAAAGGCCCTGGGCCACCCAGGCACCCTGCTAGCTCTGTCCCCCTGCTCTGACAGTCATCCCTTTTCCCGTCTCTCAAGAACTCCCTCCTCAGCCTTTCTGTCTTCTCTGTGTGCAGACTATTCATGTTGCAGGACTCGGGACCTTTGCTGTTCTCCAAGAGCAATTCCACGTCAAGCAAAAGCGGCTCCTGATTCGCAAACCGTTCTTCCAGCTGGACATTGATGAGGGGTGGCTGGAGGACATGTACTGTCCCCCTGAGATCCTCCCTGGTGAGAAGGCAGCAGCCCCCCTCTTCCTGCCCCATGTCCGGAAGGATTTGTTCTCCCTGCTCTTTGGAAAGGCCTGGGAGAGGCAGAGGATTGTCTCCAACGGTCAGGGTGGAGCTTGAGTTCCCCCAGAAGACCCCGTGGCCCCGGAGCTGTTTCTCTTAGCGACCCTTCCTCTAGGCCCTTGTTCGGAATGCTGCAAGCAACTTGGGCTTGCTGTGGCACTGAGGATATTGCTTCTCCTTGCAGATGACGTCGAGGTCGAGCCGCTGAACTACCTGCAGCTAGCGTGAGCCACCTCCTTCCTGTTATATGTTGCCCCTTAATTAATTTTCAGAGAGCATTGCATTAATAATAGAAAGGAATTTATAGAGTAAGCAACAGCAAGCAAAACAGCGCTGGGCGGCCGGGGAGTCTCGGCTCCGTCATCGGCGCGCACCTCACCCCCGCCAGGGTCCCTTTTTATATCTTGGTAATTCCAGGATTATGCAGCACATCCTGGTATATTCTGCGACTGCGCGCACTGTTGCTAGGGGGTCATCTCTGTCCCTCTGGTGGTCGTGAAGATGAAGGCCGTAGTCTTCCTCGGCGTTGTGGTTCAACTTCTTTTTTTATTTGGTCATGTTGGCCCAGCGTGAGACAGGAAGGCAGGATGTTGATACGCTAGGTTAGCAACTTCTCAGGAGATGGTTACATGAGCTTTGCAGCAGGGTCTTTGAACAAAAGAGGCAACTGAGATGCAGAAGGAGAGAAGGGGAGGGGGTTCTCTTTTTTGTTACATTAAGCAAAAGAATTTTCATAGTGTCTAGCCAAGCATTATCCAGCTCCTTACTTCAGCAGGGAGCTTTCGCAACTCCCGCTCCTCAAACAGAACTCCTTGTTTTTATAACACGAAAGACAATGAACAAACATTTATTGTGTATTACACTTCCCAGCTCAAACTGTGACCCCCAGCCCCTTCCCATTATGAACTGGGACCCTTAACCCCTTCCCAGTATGAATTGGGCCCACCCCAGTACAAACTGGGACCCCCATACCCTTCCCAGTATGAACTGGGCCCATTCCACTGCAAACTGGGAACTTTCCCAGTACAAACCAGGGCTCCCAGCTCCAACCCAGCTCAAACTTGGATTGTCCCCAGCTCAGACTGGGACCCCCAGCCCTTTCCCAGTATGAACTGGGCTCCCCAGCCTCATCCCAGTACAAACTGGGCCCATTCCCAGTACAAACTGAGACCCTCAGCCTCATCCCAGTACAAACTGGGCCCATTCCCAGTACAAACTGAGACCCTCAGCCCTTTCCCAGTATGAATTGAGCCCATCGCAGTTCGAACTGGGCCCCCCAGCCCCATCCCGGTACAAACTGGGCCCATTCCCGGTACAAACTGGGCCCATTCCCAGTACAAACTGGGCGCCTTCCCTTCGCCCCGCCCCCCGTTGCCAGGTAACCGCCACCGCCGTTCCCACCTCTTTTCCCCCCGTTGCCAGGCAACCGCCGCCATTTTGTCCCCTCCCCCCGTTGCCAGGCAACCGACGCCATTTTGTCCCCCTCCCCCCGTTGCCAGGCAACCGCCGCCATTTTGTCCCCTCCCCCCGTTGCCAGGCAACCGACGCCATTTCGTCCTGCCCCGCCGGGCTGCCCGCACTGCGCATGTGCGCTCGCCGGCCTCCCATTGGCTCCCGCCCCGCGGCTTCAAACGGTCCGGCGGGAGCGATGGCGGCGGAGGCTGCGGCCGGTGCGGGGGGGGGGCTTGTAGGGGGGGGGGGGGGATCCGAGGGGATTTTGGGGAAAGTGGGGGTCTGGGGGGGCTCAGGGGGGTTTGGAGAAGGCGTGCGAGGCTCTGGGGGGCGTCTGGCGGTGAGGGGATGCGGGGTTGTGAGGGGAAAAAGGGGTTGTGAGGGGGCGTTCGGTGAGGGGAGAGGGGCTGTGAGGGGACGTTTTGTGAGGGGAAAAAGGGGCTGTGAGGGGCATTTTGTGAGGCGATGAGGGGTTAAAGGACACTTCGTGAGGAGAGAGGGGGCTGTGAGGGGATATTTTGTGAGGGGATGAGGGGCTGTGAGGGGGCATTTTGTGAGGGGATGAGGGGTTAAGGGACACTTCATGAGGGGACAGGGACTGTGAGGGGGTATTTTGTGAGGGAACAAGGAGCTGAGAGCGGAAAAGGGGCTGTGAGGGGACAAATCCTGAGGCACTGGTGTGTGAGGGAACATTTTGTGAGGGGCTGCGAGGGGGACAAAGGGCTGAGGGGACGGGGCTGTGAGGGGGCATTTTGGGGGTGTCAAGGGGCTGCGAGGGGACAAATCCTGAGGGAAGCAGTCAGGGAAGGGACATTTTTTGAGGGGATGGGTCATTTTGTGAGGGGACGGGGGGGCTTTGAGGGGCTGCTGGGGCTTTGAGGGGACACTTTTCTAGGTGACAGGGGGCTGCGAGGACCCGGCATCCACCCAGCCCCCCCTCAACGGCTGCCAATGCTCCCCAGCACCCCCCCGGCGGGTTCAGGTCTGCGTCCGCCTGCGCCCCGGCCCCCCCGGTGAGGATCCCTGCCTGCTGCCCCTCGACTCCCACACCCTGCAGCTGCGTGAGGACCCCCCCCACGCCCCCTCCTGCTACCGGTGAGCCTCGGGAGGGGGATGGCGGGCAGCACCCATGGGTGCTCCCCCCTCTCCCTCACATTTTAACCCCTTTTTCCCCTCAGCTTCGATGCTGTTTACGACGCCGCCAGCTCCACGGCCGCCGTCTACGAGGGCTCCGTCCGCCTGCTGCTGGCCCAGTTCCTGGCCGGCCGCGACGTCACCGTTCTCGCCTACGGGCCCAGCGGCTCCGGTGAGTCTCAACGCCCCCTCCCCACGCCGCGGCGACCCCCCAAAAGGCTGACACGGTGCCCCCGTGCCCCCCCCAGGGAAGACTCACACCATGCTGGGTGGTGAAGGGGAGCCCGGCTTGGTGCAGCGTGCCCTCGAGGAGCTTCTGCAGGCCGTGGGGGCCAGCCGCCGCCTCAGCGTGGCTTGCATGGAGGTGTACTGCGAGGAGGTGGGCTTGTGCCCCGTTCCCCCCCCCTCAAATCGCCCCCCTTTTGGTCCACCTCCCCTCCCCAGGTGCCGGTGTCCCCCCATTTCTCGACATGTGCCACCCCTAGTCTCCAGATCTGCCTTCCCCTATAGGCAGATCCCCCCAGACCCCACTATACCCCCCAAAAAAGCATAATCCCCCCCAAAAAAAACATATTCCCCTCCGAAATCCCCATATTCCCCATATGACCCCCCCAAAATCCCCATTTTGACCCCATATCCCTCCCAAATCCCCATATTCCCCCATATGACCCCCCCAAAATCCCCATATTCCCCCGTATCCCCCCCAAAATCCCCATTTTGCCCCCGTATCCCCCCCAAAATCCCCATTTTGCCCCCATATGCCCCCCAAAATCCCCATTTTGCCCCCTATAGGTCTCCCCAATGCCCACATCCCCCCCCACTAACCCACCCCCCACATCCCTCTCCAACCCCAGTTTTCCCCCCCCATGGCCCCATATCTGGCCCCAAATCTCCATTTCCCCCCCATATGCCCCCTCATGCCCATTTCCCTCCTGTAACCGCCCCATATCTCCCCCCACATCTCCCCCAAATCCCCTCTATATCCCCCTAAGCCCCACATATATCCCCCAATCCCCCCAAATGCCCTATATTCCCCCATACCCCCCCCATAAACCCAAATATCCCTGCTCAAAACCCCCGTACCCCCCCAAATATCTCCCCCCATATCCCCTCCAACGCCCTTTACTTCCCCATACCGCCCCCAAACTACCATATCTCCCCCATATCCCCCCCAAACCTCTCCCATTTTCCCCCCAATGCCCCCCATCTCCCCCCAAACTCCCCCATTTCCCCCCCCATATCCCCCCCAAACCTCTTTTAACCCTCCCCATGCCCCCCCAGTCCTCTCCCATTTCCCCCCAAATCCCCCATATGCCCCCCATACCCCCCCAAACCTCCCCCAATCTCCCCCCCAAACCCCTTTTACCCCCCCAAACCCCCCATAACCCCCCCAATCCTCTCTCATTTCCTCCCCAACCCCCATATGCCCCCCAAATCACCCCATATGCCCCCCAACCCCCCCAAACTCCCCAATATTCTCCCTATTTCCCCCCACTCTCCCCCAAACCCTCTCCAACCCCCCCATACACCCCCAAGCCCCTTTTACCCCCCTAATATCCCCCCCAACCCCCCCATATCCCTCCCTAATCCACTCCCCAAATCCCATGCCCCCCCCCAAAGTCCCCCAATCCCTGCCCAAAACCCCATACCCCCTCAAACCCCTCCAATGCCCCCTCATAACACCCCCATATCCCTACAACCCCCCCAATCTCCCCCACAAACTCCCCCATTTCTCCCCCATAACCCCCCCAATCCCCTCCCATTTCATCCCCATACCCCCTCCCCAACCCCCATATGCCCCCCATATCCCCCCAAACCCCCATTCCACCCCCCATATCCCCCCAATCTCCGCCCAACACCCCATATCTCCCCAATCCACACCCCAACCCCCCCATATCCCCCTCAAACCCCTCATATCCCCCCCAAATCCCCCAATATCCCCCCTATTTCCCCCCCAATCTCCCCCAAACCCCTTTTACGCCCCCCCAAACCCCTTTTACCCCCCCCAAAACCTCCCCCAATCTCCCTCCCCAACCCCCAATTCTCCCCCCAAACCCCTTTTACCCCCCCCCAAACTCCCCAATATTCCCCCTATTTCCCCCCAATCTTCCCCCAACCCCCTCCAAACCCCCCTATACCCCCCCCAACCCCTTTAACCACCCCCCCCAACCCCCATTTTTCCCCCTCCCTCTCCCCAGGTCCGCGACCTGCTGGCCCCGGGGGGGCCCCCGCTGCGCATCCTCCAGCCCGGGGGGGCCCCCCCGAAGTCCGAGGCCTCACCCGCCTCCCCCTGAGCCCCCCCCCGGCCCCCTCCCTCCTGGTGGCCTCTCTGGGCGCCCGCCGCTGCGCCGCCCCCACCCTCCTCAACCCCTCCTCCAGCCGGGGCCACCTGGTGCTGTGGGTGCGCTGCGAGCCCCCCCCAGGAACCCCCTCCCCAATGCCCAGGGGTCCCACCTTGACCTTGGCCGACCTGGCGGGCTTGGAAGACCCCCGGCAGAGCGGGGCAGGGGGGGCTCGCCTGCGCGAGGGGGGGGCCACCAACGCCTCACTGGGGGTGCTGCGCAGGGTGCTGGGGGCCCTGCGGCGGGGGGGGCGCCCCCCCCTGCGGGAGAGCCGCCTCACCCGGTTGTTGGGGGGGGTCCCCAACCCCTCCGGGCCCCCCCCTCTCCTTCTCCTCCTCCTCACCCTCTGCCCCCACCCCTCGGGGCTCCCCCAGGCCCGCCGAGCCCTCAGCTTCGCCCGGGGGGCTCGCCGGGTGCCCCCCCCCCAACAAGCTGCCGTGGGGGGGCAGGGGGAGGGTGAGTTGTTAGTTTTTGGGGGTTTGGGGGGGTTGGGAGGGGGTTTGGAGGGGTCAAGGGTTATGGGGAGGGGAGGTGGGGAGGTTTGTGGGGGGGGTGAGGGTTATGGGGAGGGGTTGGGGCAGTATTATGGGGGTGGGGGGGTTATTGGGGGGTTTTTGGGGACTGGGGGGTTACTTGGGGGTTATGGGGAGATTGGGAGGGGGTTTTGGGGGGGTGAATGTTATGGGGAGGGGTTGGGGGGGGTATCATGGGGGTGGGGGGGTTTATTGGGGGGTTATGGGGGCTTGGGAGGGGGTTTGGGGGGTGAGAGTTATGGGGAGGGGGGTTGGTGGGGTTTCTTGGAGGGGTGGGGGGGTTACTGGGGGGGATTGGGGGGTCACTGGGGGGGTTGTGGGGGGGTATGGGGGGCATCAGGTGGGGGCACTGGGGGGGGGTTGGGGGGGTTGGGGGGACACATGAAGGGGAAGGGGGGGGATGTGGGATGGGGGGGGGACATGGGGGGGCTATTTGGGACCCCCTGACCCCCCCTCCTCAGGTGCCACCGTGGCCAGCGACGCCCCAGAGTCCAGGTAGGGACACGGGGACACGAGGGGGGGACACACCGGGGGGTCCTGGTCCCCCTGTGCCACCCCCTGCCCTGTCTCCCCCCCCCCCCTTCCAGGTCCCCCCCCTCCACGCCCCCCCCGGAGGACCAGGCCCTGCAGCGCTGGCTGGAGGATGCTGAGAACACCCTGCAGGTGACACGGGGGGGGACAGGGGGACACGGGGGGGTGTGACAACACCAGCACCCCATGGGGGGGGAGTACCCATGGGTGCTCACCCCCCTCCCCCCTTTATTTCCCCCCCCCAGAGGCTGAAGAAGCGGCGCCCACCCCCCTCCCCTCCTCCTCCTCCTCCTTCTCGTCCAGGTAAGGTGCCCCCCCCCCCCCCGCCCCCCCCCCAAAAAAAAAAAGCCTCCCCCCCTCCCCCTAAATGTCCCCAAATGTCCCCCCCGTCCCCAAATGTCCCCCCCCCATGCCACTTTATCCTGCAGGTGCCCCCTCCCCGGCCTCCCTGGTGGTGCTGCGGCGGCGGCAGAAGGTGAGTCCCTTGAGGGGGGGATGTGACAGGACTGGGGGGGGGGGCCGTTCGTGTCCCCCCCCCCCTTAGCGTCCCCTGCTGTCCCCAGGGCTGTCCCCAGTGGGAGGCGGTGGCTGCCCCCCAGCTGGAGGCGGGGGTCCGGGCCCACGTCCTGCAGGCGCTCAACGGGGGGGACCCGGCACAGCTGCGGGGGCTGGGGCCACGCCGGGGGGGGCGCGTCCGAGCCTGGCGCCAGGAGCACGGCCCCTTCCGCACGGTCAGTACCTGGCACCCCCTGGCACCTCCCCCGTGTCTTCTTGTCACCTTGTGTCACCCCCCGTGTGTCCCATTGCACCCTGTGCCACCCTCGGGTGTCCCCTCCTATGTCCCACAGCACTGTCACCTCCCAGTGTCCCCATGCATGTCCTATCCCACCCCTGGGTATCCCCAGGCGTGCCCCATGTCACCCCGTGTCACCCTGTGCCACCTCTGGGTGTCCCCTCCTATGTCCCACAGCACTGTGTCACCTCCCAGTGTCCCCATGCATGTCCTGTGCCACCCCTGGGTGTCCCCTGCCATGTCCCATGTCACCCTGTGCCACTCTCTGCCACCTCAGGGTGCCCCCGGGTGTGTCCCCTGTCACCTTGTGCCACCCCTGGGTGTCCCCTCCTATGTCCCATGTCACTGTGTCAGCTCCCAGTGTCCCCATGCGTGTCCTATCCCACCCCTGGGTGTCCCCTGTCACCCTGCACCACCCCACCGGCACACCCAGTGTCCCTGTCCCCCTCCCTGCCCTGCGTTGTCCCCAGGGCCACCCATGGGTGCCACTGTCCCCGCAGGTGGAGGACCTGGCGGCGGTGCCCGGCTTCACGGCGGCGCAGGTGGCCACGCTGCTGCAGGTGAACGGGGACACGGGGGGGTGGGGGACACCTCAGGGGACACCCGGAGGGTGACACGGGGGTGACGTGGTGTCCTTCTCCGCAGGCCAATGTCACCGCTGCCCTGGGGACAGCCCCGTTGGGCCCCGCGCCCCAATAAACACCCACGAGCGCCGACCCCGCCTGGCTGCGTGCGCCTGGGGGAGGTGACCCCAAGACACCAAGGTGCCACCAAGGTGACCCCAGGACAAGGAGGTGACCCCAAGCCATTGAGGTGACCCCCAAGTCACCGAGGTGCCACCAAGATGACCCCAGGAAAAGGAGGTGACCCCCCAAGCCACCAAGGTGTCCCCAAGCTGAGGAGGTGACCCCTGAGCCACCAAGGAGATGTCCCCAAGCCAAGGAAGTGACTCTGAGCCACCAAGGTGTTCCTGAGCCACCAAGGTGTCCCCCAAGCACCAAGATGACCCCAAGCCACCAAGGTGGTCACCAAGGGGACCCCCGAGACAAGGAGGTGACCTCTAAGACACAAAGGTGTCCCCAAGCTGAGGAGGTGACGCCAAACACCAAGATGACCCTAAGCCACCAAGGTAACCCCTGAGACAAGGTGACCCCAGGCCATCAAGTTGGGCCCAACCACGAGATACTGAGATGAGCCCAGGCCCCCAAGATGACCCCCAAACTACCAAGGTGACCACAAGAGGTCAAGCTGACCATGAGCCACCAAAATGGCCTCTGAGCCACCAAGGTGACCGCAAGCCACCAAGGTGACCCAAGCCATGGGAAAAGTCCTTCCAGAAGGTTCTCCACAACCCCTACCCCATGCTGCAGAAGACTCCCTGCACCCAGAGGACCTCCTCTCCATCCTACGCCCACCTCAGCACCCGCGGGCTGCTTCCTCCTGCAAGAGGACCCTTGAGGGACTGAGACTTGGGCATCGGAGCTCCTCCACCTTGTGTTCTTGGTGGGGCTCCAGCATCTCCTGGTGCTCACCACGTGGTCCAAAAGCTTCCGTTCCTTGAGTTGCCATTGGGACCTCGTGCAGAAGACCACTCGTTGGGACCTCACGGCCAAGACCTCGCCCGTTGGGCCATCATCGTGCAGAAGACCTCACCCTCCTCAGCAGGTGCCGGTGATGGTGGGACTCAATCTCTGGGCTTCTCCACCCAAATGTCGGGTGCTGCAGTTCAGGATCTTGGCACCAGAGGGCTCCCGGACCTGCAGAAATTGCTTGTTTTGGGAGGAAAATTCTTTCCTCTGCACTCCCACATGGCCTTTGCTCGTTTTTTTTTTGTTTTTTTTTTTTTTTTTTTTTTCCTTTTTCCCCTTTCCCTTTTTAAAAAATATATAATAATAATTTTCCCTTAATATTTGTAATATCTGTATACTTATTATTAATTAAATTATCCTCACATGTACCCCTGAGCTGTTTCTTTCCTTTCCTTCTTCCCCTCCTCTTCTGGGTGAGAGCAGCTGTGGCGGTTGTCACATCGGTTGGTGGGTCATCAAAGTACCGGCACTGCTCCCGGGAAGATCAACGTGGACTTGGCAGCCGCTGAGACTGTAAAAGCGGGTCGAAGAAACTCTCCGAGGCTCAATTTTAGAAATTTTAGAAAGTTTTAGAAAGCAGAAATTTCATTCATTGCAGTAAGGTCTGCCTGGAACCTCCTCTTCTCCAGGGTGAACACCCCCAGCTCTCTCAGCCTCTGTCCCGGATCACCTCCTCATCCTGCATGTACCTCAATGGTGCCTTCAGGAGGATTCGTTTCATGATCCTGCCAGATCCTTGCACAAGATGGCCTCTGCTGGCCTGCTCCTTAATTTTTACCCACATTTAATAATTTTACGCCTGCTCCTGGCTGTTTCTCGAAGGGAATTCGTTGAGCACCGTGAAGAAAAGTGAAATATCCTTGTGAAAACGTGGATATCCTTGACCTAGGCGAATATTCTTGGCCACCCAAAATTCGACCACAACTGCCTGCAGCTGGGATATACCACATAGGATGGCCAGGAAAGCCAGAACTTTCTTGAGCTGGGTTTGAGAGAGACACCCTGGGGCCCTGCAGATATGTCAGAAAATGGGTTATCTTGAAAGGAGCCTCTGGGCGTCATCTTGTCCATCCCCTCTTGTCCAGGACCATGTCCAGACATCTTCTGAATATCTCCAAGGAGGGAGACTCCACAATCTCTCCAGACAACCCGTGCCACTTGTCAGTCGCCCACAGAGTAATGAATGTTCTGATGCTCAGAGGGAACCTCCTGCGTCGTCTTCTGCCGCTGAGCACCACTGGCAAAAGCACGGCTCCATCCTCTTTGCACCCTCCCTTCAGGTACTTCCATGTGAGATCTGCCTGAGCCTTTTCTGCTCTAGACTGAACAGCTCCAGCTCTCTCAGGCTTTCCTCATAGGAGAGATGCTCCAGTCCGGTCGTTATCTTTGTGGTCCTTCATGGGACTCTTTCCAGGACGTCCCATGTCTCTTTGTAACTGGGAGCCAAACACTGGACGCAGCATTCCAATCTAAGCTCTACAACTAAACGTCTTTTAAAGACCTCCAGGGATGGTGACTCCACCACTTCCCTGGGGAGCCCGTTCCAGTGCCTAATGGTCTCCACCAGGCATGGTGCGCTCTCCAGGAAGTCGGTACACACCCAGACCGACTACCTGTTAAAAAATGCAGCAGTTCAGGTCACGGGATGCAGGGAGTGTCAGAGCCTGCTGCTGCCATCGGCAGGAGGCAGAGAAACTGCGTGCGTGAGGTGCGAGCAGGTAGATGACCTGATCCACATGGTGGCGGAACTCAAGGAGGAGGTGGAGAGGTTGAGGGTTATCAGGGAGTGTGAGCGGGAGATAGACTTGTGGAGTAACTCCCTGCAGGGCCTCAAGGAGAAGTACCGGGGTGAGACACCCCAAATGGGGGTGGACCCCCTGCCCTGTTGCTGTCGGGCAGAGGGAGGGGATCTGGGAGTTGAGGAGGAATGGAAACAGGTCCCTGCTCGACATTGCAGGCGATGCCCTCCTCTTCTGGCCCCACCTTCCCAGGTGCCCTTACACAACAGGTTTGAGGCCCTGGAGCTCGAGAGACTAGTGCGTGAGGAAGAGGTAGCAAGTGTTCCCAGGAGGATGCCTAGGGCGAGGAGGTCGACTCCACGCCTCAGGACTGCCTCCACTAAGAAAGACAGAAGGGTTATTGTTGTGGGAGACTCTATTCTTAGGGAAACAGAGGGCCCTATTTGTCAGCCTGACCCTACCCATAGGGAAGTCTGCTGTCTCCCAGGGGCCAGGGTCAGGGACGTTGCCAGGAAGCTTCCCAACCTGGTTTGCCCCTCTGATTATTATCCTCTTTTGATAGTCCAGGCGGGCAGTGACAACATTGAGGAGAGAAGCCTGAAGGCTATCAAAAGAGACTTTAGGGGGCTGGGACGGTTAGTGGATGGAGCGGGAGTGCAGGTGGTGTTTTCATCCATCCCTACGGTGGCAGGGAGGGGTACAGAGAGGACACGGAAAGCCCACCTGTAAAACACGTGGCTCCGGGGCTGGTGCCAACGCAGAAATCCTGGGTTTTTCGACCATGGGGCACGTTACTCAGCACCTGGCCTGATGGCCGCAGACGGGTCCCTGTCTTTTAGGGGAAAAAGGATCCTGGGCCAGGAGCTGGCAGGGCTCATTGAGAGGGCTTTAAACTAGGTAAGAAGGGAGATGGGGCTGAAGCAAGGATTGTTGGGGCTGTGCCAGGGGGAACAATGGCAAAGCCGGAGGATAAGGTAATGACCCAGCTGAAGTGCATCTACACCAATGCACGCAGCATGGGTAACGAACAGGAGGAGCTGGAAGCCATTGTGCAGCAGGCAGGCTATGACTTGGTTGCCATCATGGAGACGTGGTGGGACCAGTCTCATGACTGGAGTGCTGCAATGCCTGGCTATAAGCTCTTCAGAAGGGACAGGCAGCACAGAAGGGGTGGTGGTGTGGCTCTCTATATTAGAGAGTCTTTCGATGTTATAGAGCTCAAGGCTGGGAATGACAAGGTCGAGTCCCTTTGGGTTAGGATCTGCAGGGACAACAAGGCTAGTGTCCTGGTCGGGGTCTGCTATAGACCGCCGAACCAGGGTGAGGAGACGGATGAGGAGTTCTACAGGTAGCTGACAGAAGTTGCGAAATCTTCAGCGCTTGTACTCGTGGGGGACTTCAACTTCCCTGACATATCCTGGAAGCACAACACAGCCCAGAGAAAGCGGTCTAGGAGGTTTCTGGAGAGCATGGAAGATAGCTTCCTGACGCAGCTGGTTAGTGAGCCTACCAGGGGTGGTGCCCTGCTAGACCTTCTCTTCACAAACAGAGAAGGACTGGTGGAGGATGTGATTGTCGGGAGCTGTCTTGGGCAGAGTGACCACGAAATGGTGAAGTTCACTATTTTTGGCGAGGCCAGGAAGGGGACCAGTAAAACCGCTGTATTGGACTTTCAGAGGGCTGACTTTGGGCTGCTCAGGACACTAGTTGAGTTTCTTGAGGATGGAGTTTCTTGGGAGGCGGTTCTGAAGGGCAGAGGGGTCCAGGAAGGCTGGACGCTCTTCAAGAGGGAAATCCTAATGGCGCAGGAGCGGTCTGTCCCCATGTGCCCAAAGATGAGCCAGCGGAGAAGAAGACCAGCCTGGCTCAACAGAGAACTGTGGCTTGAGTTTAGGAGAAAAAAGAGGGTTTATAATCTTTGGAAAATTGGGCAGGCCACTAGGGAGGACTATAAGGATGTAGCGAGGCTGTGCAGGGACAAAATTGGGAAGGCCAAAGCTCATCTGGAGCTCAATCTGGCTACTGCCGTTAAAGATAACAAAAAAACGTTTTTATAAATACATCAACACAAAAAGGAGGACTAAGGAGATTCTCCATCCTTTGCTGGATGCGGGGGGAAACTTAGTTACATGAGGAAAAGGCGGAGGTGCTCAATGCCTTCTTTGCCTCAGTCTTTAGCGACAATACCGGTTGTTCTCTGGATACCCACTACCCTGAGCTGGTGGAAGGGGATGGGGAGCAGGATGTGGCCCTCACTATCCACGAAGAACTGGTTGGTGACCTGCTACGGCACTTGGATGTGCACAAGTCAATGGGGCCGGATGGGATCCACCCAAGGGTACTGAGAGAACTGGCAGAGGAGCTGGCCAAGCCCCCATCCATCATTTATCAGCAGTCCTGGCTATCGGGGGAGGTCCCAGTGGACTGGTGGCTAGCAAATGTGATGCCCATCTACAAGAAGGGCCGGAGGGCAGACCCGGGAAACTACAGGCCTGTCAGTTTGACCTCAGTACCAGGGAAGCTCATGGAGCAGATCCTCTTGGGAGTCATCATGCAGCACTTGCAGGGCAAGCAGGCGATCAGGCCCAGTCAGCATGGGTTTATGGAAGGCAGGTCCTGCTTGACGAACCTGATCTCCTTCTATGACAAAGTGATGCGCTGGGTGGATGAGGGAAAGGCTGTGGATGTGGTCTACCTTGACTTCAGCAAGGCTTTTGGCACCGTCTCCCACAGCATTCTCCTCAAGAAACTGGCTGCTCTTGGCTTGGACTGGCGCACACTTCGTTGGGTTAGAAACTGGCTGGATAGCCGGGCCCAAAGAGTCGTAAATGGAGTCAAGTCCAGTTGGAGGCCAGTCACTAGTGGCGTCCCCCAGGGCTCGGTGCTGGGGCCGGTCCTCTTTCATATCTTCATCAATGATCCAGACGAGGGCATTGAGTGCACCCTCAGTATGTTTGCAGATGACACCAAGTTAGGTGCGTGTGTCGATCTGCTCGAGGGTAGGAAGGCTCTGCAGGAGGATCTGGATAGGCTGCACTGCTGGGCTGAGGTCAACTGCATGAAGTTCAACAAGGCCAAGTGCCGGGTCCTGCACGTGGGGCGCAATAACCCCAAGCAGAGCTACAGGCTGGGAGATGAGTGGTTGGAGAGCTGCCAGGCAGAGAAGGACCTGGGAGTGATGGTGGACAGTCGGCTGAATATGAGCCAGCAGTGTGCTCAGATGGCCAAGAAGGCCAACGGCATCCTGGCTTGTATCAGAAACAGTGTGACCAGCAGGGCTAGGGAGGTGATCGTCCCCCTGTACTCGGCTCTGGTGAGGCCGCACCTCGAGTACTGTGTTCAGTTTTGGGCCCCTCGCTACAAGAAGGACATCGAGGTGCTTGAGTGGGTCCAGAGAAGGGCGACAAAGCTGGTGAGGGGCCTGGAGAACAAGTCCTATGAGGAGCGGCTGAGGGAGCTGGGCTTGTTCAGCCTGGAGAAGAGGAGGCTCAGGGGCGACCTTATCGCTCTCTACAGATACCTTAAAGGAGGCTGTAGTGAGGTGGGGGTTGGCGTGTTCTCCCACGTGCCTGGTGACAGGACGAGAGGGAATGGGCTTAAGTTGCGCCACGGGAGTTTTAGGTTGGATGTTAGG